GACAGGCTTAGTTATGAATAGGATATGGAAAAAGAAAAACAGAAGAATAGGAGTAGAGGAAGAGGAAAAGAAAAAAATGTGTTTTGAAGTATCAGTGCTCTCCACAGTTGCCTTGGGTATTCCCCGTGGTAGCTCTCCCTTTCCCCCCTTTTAAGAATAATTTCACATGTATGTGTTACGTAGCCAGGCAGTTTAAATTTGTCTCTAAAGGAGCTGGAAAAATGACCTTTTGGCATGTATACTGGATAAGGCTGCATGTTAGCTATTTCTCATTCCTTTCTCATTCCAACCCTCTTTGGAACACTGTCAGCTGTTCTATTATTTATTTCACTCTTTAAAAAAATTTTTTTAATTATGAAATATTTCTAAAGCAGAAAGTACAGAGAGTAATATAAAGAACAGTCTTTAATTAATGGTTTCTTTTTTAGGGAAATTTTTGAACTTCCAATAATAATTCTGTTATAGTTTGTAAGCCTTTAAGGATGGATGGCTTACAAGGTAGAAAAGTATGCTGTCACATTGAGCTATGTAGACTGTCTCTAGAGAGTGTATCTATCTTTTCTAGTTACTCGTTTGATGTTCTTAGGACATGCTGAGATGGTACTTAGTTGCAAATAGCTTATTCTTTTAAGCTCATACCTGGTTTATAAAATATTTAATGTGTTTTTATATATACTTTTGTTGATGTAGTTCCTCTTGGTTTCTAGCTGTCAAATTATTGTTCTGCTACATTTATTTAAAATTTCATTAAAAATTATCGTTTGACCTACCCGAGTGATAAGAACTGATTATAGTTTTATAAATAAATATAGGATTTATTTTAGTATTTTGGTTAATTTGGAAATGTAATATTGGGAAAGAAAAATGAAGTATAAAGAAATAATATAAAATTGAGTAATAGGAAGGGTTCTTCATAACGTGTACCTTCGTTATACTGAAATTTAAAAAAGTGATAGTGGTATCAAAGGCTTATTTTCTCGTAACTGTTTAATATAATTAATATGATGAGACATAGAATTTAAAATACCAAATTATGTTTTTCTCCAAGAATGACTTCTTTTAAAACTATAAAAGTTTTAGAAGAACACAAAGGAGAAAATCTCTGTGACCTAGAGGTAGGCAGAGATTTCTTAGGGCACAAAATCCATGAACTGCTAAAGAAACCATGAAATAGGGGGAAATATTTACAAAGACCTGAAAAAGAACTTTTATCTAGAATTTATTAAAAACACATAACTCATTCATAAGACAACCCATTACAAATGGACAAATGATTTCAACAGACACTTCACAAAATAAGATAGTCAGATGACTAATGAATACATAAAACGTGCCTCAGAATCATTAGTTATCAGGGCAAAGCAAATTAAAACCACAAGGAGATATCATCACACACCCATTAGAATAGTTAAAATTGAAGAAGACTGACCATATCAAGTGTTGTTGAGGATAGGGTATAATTTGAACTCACACATACTCCTGGCATGAGTATAAAATTGTAAAGCAACTTTGGAAAACTAATAGTTTTTTTAAAGTTTAACCTATACTTACGGTGTGATCCATCCGTTTTGCTTCTAGGTGTTGATTTACCAAAGGTAATTGAAAATACATGTCTCGACAGAGACTTGCCATTTGCAGAGCAAGTCATTCTGCAGAAATAAAAACACAACACATTATTATATACATGTTAAAGAACCAAATTATGAAAGGTGTATTCCACATTACCTTAGCTAATCTTATGAGTTTGTGTATTTACTGAGAGTTTGAATTATATCAAGATCCAAGGATTTTTGTAGTATTATTGTATAAAAGGGTGGGACTTCTGGTGTAAGTGATTGAAACAGCCAAGCATGAATTATGTAATTTTGGATTATGTCAGATAAAGATACTAGCCATGTTCTTCATGGCCTTATTTCACACTGAATGAAATTTTTTTTTAGGCAATTGTTCTTTGTTTTCGACTACACTTTACAAAAGATAATATTACAAATAATACAGCTGCTGCTACAGTGCGACAAGTTGTCACTGTTGTTTTTGAGAGGATGGTTGCTGAAGATGAACGACACAGAGGTAAAGAGATTAAAAGTTGTTTCCTTTTGACAATGGGTGGTTCTAACATCCAGGCTTTCTCTTTTATTGATTTTCATCCTCTCCCCTGTGAACTTAGACTACCTAACATTTAGAATACTTTAAAATATGTATTTATTTGAACATCATTATTATTATGGCAATTCAAAATAAGTCACCCACAATTTTATTACCCTAAGAAGTGGGTTCTATTTTCCATGTTTATTTCTAATATGTGCATATTTGCATGCTGAAGATAATTTCACATTTATGTCAAACATTGCATTATAACTATTTTTAGCCAAACATTACATTATGTGAGTTTTTTGCATTATTTTTTATTTTTGTTATTTAAATTTTAATGGTTTTATTTTGCAGCTATTCTATAATTTAATGAGCTCCTTGTGTTTGATATTTTAGTATTGTTTTGAGTGTCTTCCTACATAGGTATTTCCATTTGAATTATTTTTTTAGGGTAAATTCCCAAGAGTGAGCTCACTTTTTCTGCATGTTTCCTAGAGGAATTGCAGGTGGAATTCTAGCAGATTGAAATATTAAGGAATTAAACTTATGGGATAAAATAGGACAGTTCTCCGGTTTGAATGTCTTACATACATATTCATAATCTAAATATAATTTCCGGATTGGTAGCTTTATCTGTGTGTCTCTAAAGACTAATACCTCATTTAATACTTTCCAAAAAGGTAGAAAATACTTAGAATCTCTTTCTTTTCAAGTGATCAAGTCAACATTTATTCAAAACAAGCTGTTATAACTTACAGAGAATGATGTCTTATTAGTATTCAGAGAAACTGGGAAGATCCATTCTAGTTGACTCTTGGCCAGTCAGTACCTATAACTGAGATAGTAATTGTAGCAGATCAAGAGTTAATTCTCTTAAAGTTTGTGAGATAATAGAAGAATTAACCATATGGTAAATTTTATACATTTGATATTTAAAGGCAGATTTCAAAACCATGAAATAAAGGGGCCAAAGAAGGGGTTACTGGGAAGATCAAATGTATGGATAAAGATACAGAGCTTATTAAAATGAATGTAAGATGGGGAAGAGTGATTTTTATGGCTTTTTTTTTATAAAAATGGGATGCCCAGTTTTTCTTTTCCATTTTGGAGACATGGTCCTGAACTTATACTTAAGTTTGTACTTCTATAAATAAGTTTTTATTTTAAATGTACCTTTTAAATAGTATATAAAGTTTAAGTTAAAGGTCGTTATGAACTCCTAAAACTTCTCTTATTCTGACTGCAGATATTATAGAACAACCAGTACTAGTCCAAGGAAATAGTAACAGAAGATCTGTCAGTGCCCTCAAACCTTGTGCTAAAGATGCATACATGCTTTTCCAGGTATTTCAGTTGATAAAAATTTTTATTATAGAACATAGTTTTGTGTGAATTTTTGATGTTGGAATTTTGCCTCTGATCTGGTTTTTTTTAAGTGTCACTTTTTAAATTGTCCAATTTTAAAGTATAAAAAGTAGTTCAGGTTTCCCCCGCTATCTGAAAGTAGAGCATTTCTGTGCAAGCTTTCATAACCCAGAATGGCCTAAAGCGAAGAAGCAGTACCTTAGGACATAATGACCTAACAAAGACACAGAGTAAATGGAGGGAAGCACAGACGCTCACCGACTCGGTTCAGAGCGGTGGCGGCTTCGTGCTGAGAAGCTGAGTGTGGTTCCCGGGGAAGAGCCTGTCAGTGCTGCCCCTACTGCCCAGAGTGAGCGCTGCCTCCGTAGCTGGCTCGCTGCAAAACAAATGCTGTACGCTGTTTTCATTTTTGCCTTTTTTTTGTAAAAGTGAAAATCCCCTTCAGATTTCTTTCAGTTAGAGAAAATGGGTGCTAGTGTAGGTCTTTTGTAAAAGCTAAGTGGTAAAGCAAATTTTAGAAAAGCCCATGATACCTGTATTTTAAAAAATTCTAAAACATTAAAAAGCATATATAGCTTATTAACATAATAAAATGTTATGTTGTACTTTAAGGAAATAAAATGAATTAAACCTTGAACTAGATATATTAGGGATGGCTAATCATATAAAATAAGTACTTTAATAGGAAGATTAAAGTACTGAATCTCTGGTCTACTAATGTAATTTGATATACAAGTACCTGATTTTTACACTGTTTTGCATAAATAAATCTCTTAAGTAAAGTAAGAGTCACCTGTACTGGAAATATTGATTTTGATTGAAGGGTTATTCTAAGTGGTTTTTCATTAAAAGAATGTTAGATTTACCATTTATCTGTGCACTCTATATATTAAGTTTATTTATATAATCAAGTGTACATTTAGTCAAAATTTGAATTCCCAGTGATTAGTTTCTAAAGAGTAAAACCTACTATATAACAAGAAATACTTTAAAGAAGTTTTATGAACTATGAATTTTGAAAAGCACATTCCATTCCAGCATGTGAAATGTTTTCTTTGTTTTTGTTTATTGTTTGACTTATTTTCCCAGGACCTGTGCCAGTTGGTTAATGCTGATGCCCCTTACTGGCTAGTAGGCATGACAGAAATGACTCGAACGTTTGGCCTCGAATTACTTGAGTCAGTCCTGAATGATTTTCCACAAGTCTTTTTACAAGTAAGCTGTTTGTAGTATCTTGCAACAAAATTAATCTTTAATTTTTTTCACAGGTATTTTTCAGGAGAGCAACATGTATTTTTCTCTCACATTAAAAGATGCAAAAAATTATACCTCAATAAGGTATAATTATTACCTTTAAACATATAGTAATTTAATATTATCTTACATTTTAGTAATGCCCAAGCATCTTGAAATTCTGACATTAGAAGTGATCCCTGGGATCTTTCTAGTCAAACATTTCCCAGTCAGGGGGTGTATGACGGAATGGGATATGCAAACTCTTTTTGTAATATTTAAAATCCTAAAAAATTGTTACTGATTTTTACTTGGTTATATGTTGCTGTGTGCTTTTGCATAATTTAAATGGAAAAAAGTTGTCAGTGCTTAATAAATTCCATGAATGATACAGAATATTTCAAAACAGAAGGTTAATAGGGGAAAAAGTAAGAAAGAATTCAGAATTTTTATCTGTTTGTAAGAAGCTGAAGTTCAGAAATAGTTCAGTGATTTACATAGGGTTCCTTAGTTATTAGCAGTTCTTGAACTAAAATTTAGATCTTCTAACTACTCCTCTAGCTCTTTTCCCTACCATGCGGCCCCCCCTTAGTCGTCTAACTTGTCCTTTGCTCCTACCTACAAGGTGTGTGAATCAGGTACCACTAAAGTAGAAGATCCTTTAGCTCAGGAGTTGGGATTGAAATTTTATTACAGGGTTCGTAATTTTTGGTCTGTGTTAGACAGCTGTTAAATGCTTTTGGTGATAATGAGCCATAGTAACTGATGACTCCATTTCTTGTATTAATATAGGGTAAGTTTAGCTATAACTTGTCTAGCAGTCTTGTATAAAATGCTAGTCTCAACAGCTGCCACTTTTGACTGCCTGTGCCGTACGACGACTTTGCTGAGTTCCTTATGTACCTTTAGTCTTCACAGTGCCTGAGAAGTACCAATTATTCCTGCTTTACACAGGAGGAAGCTAAGACTTTCAGAGGGTTAAATAAGTTGTCTAAGGTTTCATAGTTTGTAAGTGCCGTCATCCGTTAGTCACACTGTCATTCTTGTTGTTCCTAAATGACCCAGGTGGACTCCTGCTTCGGGGGCCTGGAATGCTTTTCTCCCGTGTGGCTTGTTCTCTTCCTCTTTTTGAGGTCTTTACTCCATGGTCAACTTATCAGACAAACTTTCCCCAACCACCGTGTGTAAAATGGCTACTTTTCTTCATGCCAGCGCCCTTTCTTACCCCTTGTTATTTTTCTTTATAGCACTTGTTACCTCCTGACATAGGTATTTGTGAAGTAGTTTATCTTCTCTCTTTCCCTACGGGAAACTCTGTGAGGCAGGGACTTAGTTCCCTGTTGTCTGAGTGCCATTTATTTCTAGTGCCTGGTATACGGCAGGTGTTTGACAAATACTTGAATGAATGAACTGGTAAATGATTTTGAATTATTAATCTCCATAGTTTAGATTGTATTTTCTAATTTTGTCAGGAAAGATGTGAAAAAAATGTTTCCAGATTTATAGTGCCTGCAATAAATCTATTTTATTCTTCCTGCTGCAGTTCAGAGGAGGAAAAAAGAAATATTCAGTGTAAGATCCTAAAATTTACTCCTGAAAGTTTTCTTCAAGAGATAAATTTTTATTTTCTTTCATTCATTCATTATTAATTCATCCAAACAAAATTTACAGGTCCCTTACAATGTGCTGGTCTATATATTCAGCGCCAAGGATACAGAATTTAAATAAGACACATAAAATTCCTGCCCTTATGACACTTACCAGTCTAACTGGAAGAAAAAACATTACCTGAACAATAAAATGTGAAGAGTGCTGTGAGGAAAAAGTGTAAAAAAGTGCTATGGAAATGAGTAACACAGGTACCAAACCTGGTGGAGAACTAGTGACGAATGAAGGCTATGAAGCTTTTACCTGAGAGATAAAGAGGAGTTAGTTGGGAGAAATAGGTAGAATAGGGAAAGAATACTCCACAGCAGTGACCCTAAGAAAGAATCTGCCTTTTCTTTTAAAAAGAAAATAAGCTGTCTAAGGGCAGAGGCAGAACTGAGCATGACCCTGACTTCCTTCCCCTGGCGCAGTGCCTGGTGCGTATTCACCAGCCAGCAGCCAGATGGTAAGTATTGCGAGGACAAAGGCAGCCTTTCACCTTCTTCAAAATAAAGTCAGTGATATATAGAGCTAATTATACTTTATTAATCAAGGTTGACTTCTAGCTTTCTGGTTTGAGCAGTGAGTTACTTGCTGCTAATACTCTGTGGGCAGAACTTTTGCTAGAAAGGGTAGTGTATTCTGTTTTTAACTTACTCATTTTGAGGTACCTGAGTGTACACAAAATGGTAGTTGAATTTATGCATCTTGAGCACAGAAGTAGGGTTTTGCGCTAAAGTTACAAATCTTAACTTCGCTATAGTTGCTAACTGAAGATATGGGAGTGAATGAGATCAGCTCTGATGATAGCATGCGGTGAGCAGGATGTGAGGGCCTGGTTTTCTGGAGCTCTGAGAAACCTCATCGTTAAATGGTTAAATGGTTAAATGGTACAGCCTGATATAAGACAAAAGCAGGAAAGCTTCAAGATCAGCCAAGTAATCATTTATGTCAGGCACTTCAAAGAAATTTGATAAGATTGAAAATGCAGTGTTGGCTTTGGCCACAGAGATCATGTTGAGAACAGTTCCAGTAGACGTGAAGTAGTTGGTGGTGGTTGTGGAGGAAAGCCAGTTGTAATTAGGTGAGTAGTGAGGGGGAAAACTGAATAGATAAAACTTTTAAGACTTGTCTGTAATATTTATAAATTAGCCAATACCTAAGGTTATTTAGTAAAGTATGAAAATGGATTTAACTATGCTTTTCACTTTGTCAGTCAGTGAAACTGCTGTAGATGTGAGAGTAGAATTTCAAATCACATAGCTCTTAAAAAAATCCCATTTTTTGGTGGGGGGAAGAATTAAAAGTACATAAAATGGATATAAAAAGCTAGAAGTATACATATTTGGAGTCAACAATGACTCACTAATTTATCTCCAGGAGTTGAGATTAGGCAAAGCTTTCATTTTTATCTTTTCACTTATCTGTGTTTTCTTTCTTTTTTCCTCTAGTAAAGCTAA